AATTATTGAATTGATTTGTTATTTCAATAGGCTCAGTAAATAATTTTCCGTTACATTGAAATGTTTTTGGAATTTGACTTTTCTTTTTGCCCAATAATTCATTAATTGTTTTCCAGGTCTTTTTAATACTATTTCGATTCAATTGTAACAAGTTCTTATAATATTCTTGACGAGCTCTACGAAGGGCATTAATAACTTTATTTCTAATTTTTTAAATTTTCTCTCATCACTTGTACGTCTTGTTTGACAAAATGTTTTAAAACTTTTTTTTTTTCTTAATCAATTTCAATATTTTATTGGTAACCCACGGTTTCCTATTTTTTCTTCTCTTTTTTGTTGATGTAAGAGGAAAATGTTTATCATACAATTTGAGGAATATATTCATAAATAAAGTATAAGCTTTATCAGCATCCATACACCTTAGTACGTCACCCCAATCAATGTTACTTAATTCAACAAAAAAACTATTAATCGTTAAATCATTGATTTTCCTGTAAGTATAGGACTGTTCTGAAACATTTTTATAAACACCTCTCTTATAGCAGAAAATTGGCATATGATCAGTAATTGAGGAATAAAAAATACCTGGAGTAACATCATTGTCATTCGTTAATATGTTATCAATAATAGAAAGGGATGAGTTGGTTACACGGGTTGGAAGGTTAATTTGAATGTAAAAGCCGTGTGACGCAATTATGTTCATTAGAGTAATAATACTATTTGAAGTAATTTTCAATAAATCAATATTATAGTCTCCAAGGAGATAGATTTGTTTATTTTCCTTGGAGAGTTCTTGCAATAGTTTATCAAAATATGTCATATATTTATATGAATTGGACTTCGGGGGTCTGTAGATTACACCAATTACTATACTTTTAATCGAGGTATATTAATTTCAACAAATACAGTTTCACATGAAGAACACGTGGGATTCAAGTCATCCCGTAATCGATAACACAACTTTTTCATCTAAAAATATTCCCACGCCTCCTCCTCTACCAACTTTTCTGTTATTATTAATAAAGTTATATCCATCCAACATGTAACAATTTTCGTTTTCTGAGTTCAGCCACGTCTCTGTAATACCAATAGCCGTAAAATTTAAAGAAAGGTTGCTAAGGTAGGCAGAAATTTGATCAAAGTTTTTGGCCATACTCCTCGAGTTAAAGTGTATAGCACTAAATTGTACTAAATTTGGATCTATAGACTCTTTGAATTCATCTTCCAAATAATATTTGCAATCATTTACATATTGTTGATCAAAGTCAGAATCAAGAATTGGAATAGAATCGTTTAATTTTACATCTTCACTCATGTCATTTAAATCATCGTAAGTTATACGTATTTTGTTTACTTGTGCAACACAGTTAAGGTATTCATCATTGTTGACAGAAAAGAATGGAAAGACAGAACACAAATTCATAGACATGCAAAATACGGGAACAAAATATTCATACAAAAACTACGTAAACTACAAAATTAAACAGGTCTATTGAGTAGTCCAAATTAATATATGTATATCTATATATATATATATATATATATATAATATATCGGGCAAAAACAAAACAGAAAATATAAAATTGAATGCATATGGAAATGCATCAGTGAAAATGATTGTATACTAGTATTTGTTCATTAATTTTGATTTGATTTGATTTGATTTATTGGTTTCTGCATCATTTTTCTTTTTTTCATCCTATACATTTTCATGAACATAATATGGTTTGATACAATATTTTAAGTATATATAATTTAAATCGAGTATAATAGAGGGGGACACTTTTTTTTTTTGGAGTCCAAAAAAACGACTCAGCCAGCCGCTGATTAAGCGGGGGAGGGAGGGGGGGGGGGGGATTTAAAAATTTGACATTTTGTTCCGTTGGGGGGGGGGGGGGTAAGGTCACCTTTTTTAGGTCAGCCATTTGCATAATAAAAAAATAAATAAAAAGGGAGGGGGTTAATTAAAAACATCCCCCCCCCCTGCGTACGCGCCTGCTTGTATGTATGCGTCAATACGGGCCGGACTTGTTGCCTTATAAGTACCCCTTTATCGGAGATTTTTGGAACACGAATGCGGTCCCTCCGAGTGGGGGGGGGGGGGGGGGGGGTCAAGAGAGCTGAGAGCTCCGTGGAATTATTGCCAGCCATCCCACCCCCCCCCACCTCCCAAACTGCTTCTCTCCATCTTTTTGTTTCTTTCGATCCATGCATCTCTCTCTTTTGCACTCCCATCACTCCACCCCGATCTCTCTCTCTCTCTCTCTCTATCTCTCATACTCTCTCTGTTTGACTCCCTTCTCTCTTTCTCTCTCTCTCTCTCTATCTCTCGATCGAGTATTTTGTAAGACATTCTTGAGTGTGAACAGTCATTCTCACTCTTTTATTCACTCCCGCTTCTAATCTCTATGAAGTTTTCGCCAATCTTTTTCTCTTTTATTATGGATGTGTATTCTGTTCTAGACCCCCCCCCCTCGTTCCCATTTTGAATTTCATCCATTTTCTTCCACGAATCCTATACTTTTTTGTGTTTATAGTTACAACTTCATATTCTAAAAATCAATTCTGTCCACTCTATGCTATTTAAAGAATCAATAACAAAGATTCATTGGACATTATTGCAAAATATATTTTCTTCCATTTACAGTCATAAAAACATAGAATGTGTGATCTTGAACATCTTATGAATAAATAAATGCAATATATACTACACACTATAATAACAATTACAATAACAAGAACAAAACAATAAAATATAGAAAATATTAGTTTGCATAGAGTCTGTCATTTTCTTTGGTCCTCCCTGAGAATACTGTTAATACAATTATATACATTATTTGTGTAATCTTATTGTCATCTTGAATATCTGATGAGAAAATAAATGCAATATACACAACACACTAATAAAAAAATTACAAGAACAAGATCAAAACAATACAATATAGACAATATTATTTTGCATAGAATCTGTCATTTTCTTTGGTCCTTCCTGAGAATACTGTAAATATAAGGTACAGCGTGCAACACCAGACATCGTTTAACAATTAAAAAAAATATGAGATGCATGGCCCTACGTGTTATCAGAGTCTGTGATATGGTGTAATATTGAAGCCCTAAAGATATTGCGCTTCAAAATGATCATTTATAGGGCCTCGAAAAAGTAAAAATCTTTGAGTGACCGGTATTACCATACTCATTTCCCCCAGTAGACTGTAGTGTTATGAAAACCGTTAGGAAAACGCAAAATGAAATTTCGATTTTCAATCATGAATATCTTGATACTGCAGACAGGCGATCGGCTTGTACAAAGCCAAGGGATTCCTGAATGACCTAAAGGTTTATAATTAGTAGCATGAGCTAAATCAAGGATTTTGTTTAAGGATCTGAGACAAAGTTACACAATCCCTTTAATCCTTGAAAGACATATTGGGGGAGGAGTGGGGTTATGGGGGGGGGGGGGGCGGCGAAAGATACTACTAGAAACACCGCATGGCGTTACCCACTTTAAGTTGTAATACTGTAACAGGATCATAACAACTTTCAGGAATTCAGATTCTTAGGGGAATTCTGATATCTTATTGCTTAACTTAAAATAAAATTATGTTCGGGTTACATAAATATTATTCACCTTTCGGTAGGGGAGAGGTGTATTACCCAAAATAATTTATCTTTAGGACAATTATTTCTAGGGTTTCTGGATCTGCAATGATCCCTTAACCTGCCAATCATGAGGTTATACAGATAGTTTTTGCATTTCTGTTTCCCGATCGGAAATCTGCCATGATGGGCAAACTACCCCCCCCCCCTCCTGCACACCTGCCCCGTTATCATATACGCTGATGATTTGGTCTCTTTATACAGACTTGATTGTACTTCACGTCTTCATTGCCATCAAGGCACATTGCATGTCAGATGAAGGTTAGCGTTTCACTTCTTGTTCCATTCCATAAGCCATCTCCCTACGAAATCATGCTTCCTCGCTTTCGGCTCCGAGTCCGCAGCGAACACGCTTAGGGTGTATAACCCTGGACTTGGCAGCTTCACGTCACAGGTGAAAGACGGCTTCCCGGTTTCCGATTTAGTTTTAGAAATCTTACACCTGCTATCCTCTGCTTGGAAGATCACACTAAAGGGTTTGTCCCGAAGTACTGTGAGCGTGCAGAGTCCGTCAGCGTCGGCGGGGAGGGTCGAGCAGTGTGGCGCTTTTGTTGATAGACCCATCTGGAAAAACTGGGGGTCAGGTCCCTTGGTGCCTCTGACATCTGGAAACATTGCCTTGGTGGTTGCTTTGGCGCAGTCGGCCAGCCACACGCCTGCATTTGACTTGCCTGTCTCGTCTTCGGTAAAGACCACAAGGTCGTAGATTCCCGGTTTCTTGACCCTAAGTCGTATTCTTGTGGATGTGATTTCTCCCTCATCCGACCACCCAGCTTCGATCAAGGAGGAAGTAACAGAAGAGCTCTTGTCCTTACGCCCGCCCTCTGCGGTTTCCAGGTGCGCAGTGATTCTCCGATTCGTGCCCGGTTTGTGAGTAAAGCACAACTCACCTTCTCCGTCGGACAGATCAAGCCTCTTTGAAACCCCATCGTCTAAGCCTAATCCTGAATCCCAGAAGATGGATTTTGGTCCATAGGTCGTTTTCCTTCCAGGATACGTCGGTTTCTTGCAAACTTTCTCGTTCACCACCAACCATATGCCAACGTAGTCATGCTTCTCGCTACCTTCCGACTTGGCAAACAGTCGGAATGCAAATGTGCCTGTCTTATCCATACGGAAATGAAAACGCGTTATGCGTTTTGTTTCCATGACGTAAGTATCTGCAAATACTTGACGTTTAACTTCATCTTCTTCTAAACCTATCTTTAGGTTGAAGCGGAATTCGACAGATGATTCTGGCCTACTAAACACTTCAAAGGTACCTTCCCCGTTTTCACACACCACTCTGCTTTGTGTCGCTGTTTGTAAACCTAGAGAGTGGAACTTAGCTTTAGGTCCTACGTCGGTGGCACCTTTTGGAAAGGGCTCCTTCTTGCTAGGTTTGCGACAACATACTAGCCATTGACCTACAAACTCGTTTTTTCGGCGTCGGCACTGATTCGGTCTTCGGCTTAGCAAAGAGTGTCAGTTTGAAGAACCCTTTCGTCTTGAGTCTAAGGCTAACGGTTGTAACCTGTTCTGTTTCCGTTTTGTTGGTCTCTACAACGTAGTCTCCATCATTATTTGGTGATTCGGAAATATCCTTCAAGCCAGCAATAATCTTCATTTCCTTGGTTGTATCACAGGTGATGACTAATTGCCCTTCTCCTTCTACTGTAACTATTGTCGATGTGAGGGTGTCCCTGAGGCGGAGACCGAGTCCTGCAAATTTAGCATTTGGACCGGAAACGCGGCTCATATCTGGGAGGCGTATCGGGTCGAATTTTCCTGTGCAAACAATAATATAGGTCAGCCTACAAGAGTAGTCCTCATGGTCAGACTTTACATACATGGTAAGAGTGTATTTCCCGGCAGAAGGACACCGGACGTGGCAAACCACCCAGTCGTCAAAATGTTCGCAGTAAACGGACGATTCCATCTTCTTGTTCTGATCACCGACTTTGCAAACGTCTACACGGACAGAAGAAGGGCCTTCATGAAGCTTCTTGAAGACCACATGAGCACTTCCTGCAACTGCCTGAACGGTTGCTTCGTTCTTATCAGCTGGGGTCAAGCCATAGTCCGGCAAATTCAAAGGTGCACCATACAAGTTTATCTCTTCAGTGGACATAGGATCGAGTTTCTCACCACCTGTTGCTTTGATTACATAGCTTACTATCGTATTACGGATGGCATCTGAGGGTTGTTCTGGATACAGGACCTCAGTGTTGCCATTGTCGTTGCGCTGCCATGAAATTTTCCCGATGAGGACGAAACTGTACCTACCAGCTTTTGGAAGACGGATGCTGCAGGACAGTTCGTTCTTATTCCACCACTGCAGCGCCACTCCTTTCAGTTTCGTACCATCCTCATTCTTAACGATGCAGAATGTGTTATAGAGCGCCCTCTCCAGTTTGAGCTTGATCAGGCAACTGTTACTTGGTGCCTTGATGATACCTTCTTTGTGGCTCACACATTCGAGTCCGGAGAACTGCGCTAGGGCTCCTAATACAGGAGTGTTGTTCCAGTCTTCAAGGGATTGAGTGGAAAATATCTTCTGGATGTCTACGCCTTTCGGGAAATGGTGGTTTGCAAAGCTCTTTGGCTCCGCTAAGAATTGGCCCTCCTTCCAATGCCTTGTGAAAGCAGTATCTGAATGAATAGGGATATTGGATGAAAACAAAATTAACGGATGGAATAACTTCGTTCGAAAAAAAAGTTAATGCAATATTTTATAATTTGGAATACCGATACAATCCCATCATGATAATATTCTAATCAAGAAATCGCTAATAATATCATTGTCATTTACGTTTTCCTGACATCCTATTTGTGAGGCGAGATCACTCGGTGGTAAAGCAGTAGTCTCGTAACCGGGTGTCCAGGGTTCGAAACCAAATCAATGCGCTAGTGCCCTTTGCTAAGGCATTAAACCTCATTACCAAGTCCATGGAGAGGACTTGAAGCCGTCGGTCCCCTGGTCGCTTACTTACAATCATACACATGCTTTCTCAGCAGTCGAGTAAAACAAGCAAAAAGTTTTTAAAAAAACAACTAACCAAGCAAAAGTTTATCAAACCTCATTATCAAGTCCCTCGGAGATGACTTAAAGCCGTCGGTCCCCTGGTCGCTTGCTTACAATCATACACATGCCTCCTTATCAGTCAGGTTAAACAAGCAAAGGAAACCAATTGACCAAGCAAAAGTTTCTCAAACCTCATTATCAAGTCCCTCGGAGAGGACTTAAAGCCGTCGGTCCCCTGGTCGTTTAATTTCACATGCTTTCTTATAGCAGTCAAGTAAAGCAAGCGAACCAACCAACTAACCAACCAAGAGTATCTCAAACCTACAGCACTTACCAACACTGCCCGCAGCCCATGTACAGTCGCATAAAAATGTGCTGCCATTCAGGGTGACCCTGTTCCAAGCATGGGTCATCTTGGACAGATTCTCCTTGCCTGGCCAATATCCGCTTCCTTTAGCGTATCCAGTGATCTTCACGCACTCTACGCCTGCTTTCCTAATTGGGAGAAAACATAAATATGATTATTGATTGATTTATTGATTTATTGATTTATTGATTTATTCATTTATTCATTTATTCATTTATTCATTTATTCAAAACACGGCAAAAAAGACATTCGGCATCTGAGCTAGTTAACAAAGGGTCCATGAAATAAATACTATGTATAATTGATCGTCTACTTCTTCGAGTCACTAACGAGTCCTGATTGGGAGAAAATATTATATAATTATTGATCGATTGATTGATGCAATCAATTATTCATTTCTTCATATATTCATTTATACATTTATTCATTTATTTAACACAGCAACAACAACAAAATTCACAGCCAGTTTTTTTCTTCTTTAACATTACTCATTACAATGAAAGTATTAGCACCCGAAACTTGAAGTTCTCTTATTTGGCATCGAGGCAATCAAACAATTTCATAATGTTGTTTTGTTCTTCTTTGTTCTTCTTCGTCTTCTCCTTCATTTACCCCCTCCTCCTCCTCCTTCTTCTATTATAATGTCTCCTGCGACTTTATAATCACCATCGTGATCATGATCATCGTCATCTAGTTTTTTTCTTCTTTTTTCCTTCTTCTTCCTCTTCTTCTGATTAATAAAGAAAGGAGCCTTAAAGTTGCGCATATTTTATTAACTTTCATTCTCCATGCACTTTAAAAATGATATCAAATTATTTTGTCTTTATGTATGATATCAATATCCACATTCAGTCAATAAAAGTGTTTTTGAATAATTTAATTTGTCACTAAATTAAATTGAATTGTAATAACATAATTAATAAACAACAATATAACTGTGATATAATCATGTTATTATGGTAATTTAGGGACATATCAAATTATTCGAAAATATATTCATGTATATGGACACTTAACATTCCATACTTTAGTCGGTGGATTAAACCATGGACTAAAGTTAGTCCACTTTCAAGAATACCACCCAAAGCATGTACTTACGCGCACATAGCCACCATAAGATTGCTGTATCCGCCACAGACTGCGAGTCCGGTCCGTAGGACAGCTTCAGCCGAGTTATCCCCGTACATTCCTGTCCGGAACCCTTCAACGTTGTACTCCGTGTTATGCGCCACCCAGCGAAATATGACCCGTAGTTTTTCTAGCTCTGAGTTGGCAACCGTAGTCAGATGGGCAACAAGTTGATCCATGTCTTTCCGAAGTCCCGGGGGCGTCTATAGATTCAGTAAAGAAAAAGAAAAACACAGGGACACAAATCAATGAGTAGATAGGTATATATGACAATTATTGCCTCATGCGAAAAGTGTATCCACGTCTTTTCGAAGTCCCTGGGGAGTCTATAATAGATTCAGTAAAGAGCAGGAAAAACACAAGGAAACACATTAGCAGATAGGTAGGACAATTGACTCCTGCCCGGACTGTATATGCCGGATGGACGATTACCACCTGCACAATTTACTTACTAGAAGAGGTTGACTGGCAATGGGGGGGGGGGGGGGGGTTGAGCCGTTTTCCTATATTTATACGGGCCGCTCTATATTTTGGCTTGAGGGCCGGCTGATTTGTGGTCTGTGGGCCGGTTGGTTTGAGGTCCATGGTTAGAATGGACTGATTGCCTCGAAATTCCCGGTAACAGTCCGACCCCCCCCCCCCTTCCACCTAGGGGTGAGGGCACTCGCCACCTTGAATGTTGATAGTAATTTCCTTAAAATAGTGCGTTCGAAGAATGATTACCAAGACCCACGTAATTATACATAAAAGGGAATGTGATTGGTCTTGATGGTGTCTCGCATATACAATGAGAAATATATATATCTAAAAACTATGAATGAACACAATAATTGGCCATGTATATTAGGGTCTTTTTTCAATGAATTATGAGTTGTAAAGAAACAAGTGACTGTCTTCATCAGTCAAAAGAAGACGAAAGTCTCCTTACATGCAGGTTTCTCCATTTGAACAGGGAATCAATAGTGGTATACATTACGTAGTCTTCAAAGGGAGGCAGAAAAGATGCTAAATTATGAAATTAGATAAGAAACGAACTGATAATAAGAATATGATGGGGAGGGGGAGGTAAACGTTGCCCAATTTGATCGAAAATCATTTTCCTGTAATATCATATTTTCAGAAAAAAATAGATTTAAGTTTTCGAGTGCTCCCTCCCTGTTTGTGATTAGGTCCCATTGTCTGACTTTATTATTAAACTCGAGTCCCATCCATCAGTTCAACTTAATTTTAAAATTTGCCCCTTCCCCCCCCCCCCCCCCCTAAGATGTCCCGGCTGTTTTTATTAGCAAAACAAAATACGCAGAAGGGCACTAATCTTTATAGGGAGATTTTGATATTGCGTTAGCCGAAAAGGGTGAAATAGTCTCCTTGTCCCGGTTTTAACCGACCAATAATAATATAGAACGCTTAAAAAAATTATAATTATCCAGGTGACCGTATTCAGTTACTATTCCGCAAAAACTTTAAAAAACGCAATTACTAAACCTGTTACAACTGCTACATTTCTATGACAAATTTGCTCTCAGCCAATCAGATGCCATGATTTCAGTAGCTTATAACAGTAGCTTGTAACAGTAGCTTATAACAGTAGCTTGTAACAGTAGCTTGTAACAGTAGCTTGTAACAGTAGCTTATAACAGTAGCTTGTAACAGTAGCTTGTTACTCGTTATTGATATCAAGTTTCATGAAACAGGGCCCTACATTAAATTGTTCATTTTCCTCTCCCTTTTAACGGGACCCGCATTTACAGCTTGCTCGATGACATTAAAGCTGCACTACTTATAGCAACTTTCGCCCTCTATATAGCAAACAATGCCTAATCGGTGACCATTGGATCCCATGATCCTCTTTTTCTTATTTTAATTGAGAGCTTGTTTGATGAGATAACCACCTGTCAGTGACCATAGGGAGGTCTAATCGTTCCTGGCCGAACCAGTGTGATGGTGCTTTAATTATGACAGCCGATTTTGCTTTCATGAATTACGGGTATATAATTATATACAGTGTACCTACCTCTATTGCATGTTTATCCAGTTTCTTCATTTGGTTGTAGTCGGGTATCAGGGCTCGTTTGCCTGGCCAGAACGTGTCCTCAATCTTTAAATCAGGAGTGTCTTTGCTCAATGGAAACGCGGCTCGGCCGAACACTGGTATCGGCTCCTCTCGGTATTTTGCGACATTCACCGATGGATCAAAAGGCGATACGGTTTTGGGGTCAGTCGGGATTTTGTAAGGAGCGCTCTGTCTAACATTTTGTTTACTCTTCCTCTCGATCGAATCTGGTTCGTCACGCTGCTGATTAATAACAACGCCGTCATCGATACCGGTCGTATGTCCATTTATTACATTTTTATGTTTTAAAGGGTGAGCTATCTCCTCATTTACTTTTACCGATTGTCCTTCTGTAACGTTTCCGCTATTTTGTTCAGTGTAACCTCTGCTTTCGTCTACTGTTGCTCTCTCATTGATGACGTCATTACTTCGTTTGATGCCATTATGACGTCGGACGTCGACGTTGCTTTCAACGACTGCGGTGCTCTTTGATCCTCCGCAGCCCATGATGAGACTGGTTACCAGTTTTTCATACGTCCGAATATCTGCCTTCTGTTCAGTTCTAGTGGAGAATCATTAATTGAGAAGCGATACGCAACCTATCTGTCATGATTGTCTGTAAAATAAAAGATAAAAAAATGTCTACCTTAATTACTTTTCATATCTTTAAAACATTGATGCCTAAGCAGCGATTATAAAGGCTTACTTGATATTCAGCATATTCTTTACAAAATTCATGTTAATCCTCGCTTGGAATGGCCGGGCAGGTCGGTTATCCAGATGGATGATTTTGAACAGTAATTTGATCAAGTTCGTGGTGGTCAGATCATTTGAAGCATAATTATCTTCCGTAAGAGCTCATGGCAAGTATTGATAGCTTTAAATTTGTTAAATGCCCGGATACACAACGCCCATGTTCTATTACAAAAGAAAATCCATGTGGCGTCTCCAATATCCTGTTCCCCATTATTATTGTTCTGTTTTAATTTTCAGATATTGAATGCAATCATTTTCATGCTGAAATAAAACTTGATTTTGTGAAGCAGTACATTAATGATTGAATAACTAATGACTGAAAGAGCTATACATTCATTTCTTGCAATGTAAAGCCATTCCCACGAACGTGAATCACACACAAAAAATATAAAGATGTTTTTTTTTTGCTGCATTGTGTAGCTCACATAATATGCGTTGCGTTGCAAAATCATCTATTGTTACGTCACAATCATTCTCTATTAAATCATAATTTCGATTCGGTCGTCATTAACCTGTAAACCTGTGACCGCACAATGCTGGTCGATTCATTTACCATGTTAATATCTCTCTCTCTCTCTCCCTCTCTCTCTCTCTCTCTCTCTCCCCCTCTCTCTCTCTCTCTCTCTATCAATTATATTACGCTCTTGTATTGGACACGTTGTAAACAATGAAATTATTGTTCATTCCACAGTCACACCACCAAACCAAATCCAAACCGACTGACTTTTTAGCCATTTGAAGTAATGTAACACTGTACGATCGGTCTGTTGTCGATCTTGTTGGTGTAACCGGGATATAAATATTGGCGAAGGAATACAATCATACGGTTCATACCAGTCACAATCAATTATATATATACGTACCATTTTATGTTCGTCTCGATGTATTCGAATCCATTCCAATTTGTCATCTCCCGATCTCTTTTGATGTTCTGTTCCTTCTGTCTGTTTCCACAATAATAGGCTGGTAACAAGAGGCATGGCATACAAGAACATACTGTAATGTGATTAATTATAGGACATTTACAACGCAGGTACCCTCAATAGTAGTAATTCCCTTACTACCATTTCATGTATTGATTATATTTCCCCATGCACTAGCTATATAATTATGACAATGGGACTTTGGACAAAATCATCTAGTCTTCCTTCATACTTCTCATGGTATTTTTGTCATTGCATATGAAGGTAAATATCAATAAATTTGTAACATAATCATTTGTATTGCATGGTACATTATCGTTTAAAAATCGTTGTTGATTTGATAATTAAATATTGATGAAAAAGGTTTTTAAAGTCATCAACAGATCAAAAGTAGCTCTTTAAATGTATGACAAATTGAAAGGTCTGGGATTAAGAATAATTTTGTTAATGAAAAGGACCTCTCAAATTAATGTCTGCTCGCACATACTTAATGGGACCGTACTCTAGAGATAAGCTGCAATGACAAATAGAGCGTTTGGTCGCTTAGTAACAATGGTCGTGTTGCAAGTTGAATGAAATGGTGACAGAGAGATAATGAGAGAGAGGGAGAGCGTATAGATTTCACACACCAACAAAAAATTAAAGATTTCGATTTAAGTATAATGTACGGAAAATAAGTAAGAGGTTTCGAAATATAAACAATTAAAGATTTCGATTTAAGTATAATGTACGGAAAATAAGTAAGAGGTTTCGAAATATATACTCTTATTTCCACGGAGTTAAAGTGACACGGATTCCGAATCAATTTGACTCGGATTGTGTGGCATCAGCTGAGAATTGACTCAATTCAGAGTCAATATGACTCCTTTTCCGTGTCACTTTAACTAGGAATGGAGTTGACTCCCAGCTGACGCCATTCAGAGTGAAATTTGACCCCGTGTCATTTCTATATATATATATATAGAAATGACAGGCAAGGTAAAACAACAAAAAAAGTAAAATGTGGGGAGCCTAAATAAAAAGCATAGCTTTTATGTGAATATAGGCTCCCGTATACTGAGGAACACAATATATAGCAGGTCTGAATTTAAAAGGAATTGTAGGAGGCGAAAACGGAGTAGTATAGTCTGAGATTCTAGAGACGTACAAGGAGAGTGAATTTGAGAATAAAAGAAAAAAATAGAATAAAGAGTAAAGAAAATAATATAATAATGATAAGTAGGAGAAGGTGAAGAAGGAAAGAATGAAGAAGAAGAAGAGGAAGACGAAAAAGAAGTGGAAGAAGAAGAGGCAGAAGAAGAAGAGAAAGCAAATTGATGAAATCAATGGCATTGTAAAATAATTATAAACAAATTAAGAGGAGACAGAGGGCGGCAGTGAACTAAATACCAATAAAAGGTAATAAAGCCCAGTTGTACTTCTTGTACATCATCATTATAGACAGACTAAAAAGGGGGCAAGACAGTGTTGATAAAGTTTGGAGATAGAATCAAAGGGAGAAAGAGAGAGAAAGGGAGAGAGAGAGAAAAAGGGAGAGAAAGAGAGAAAGAGGGGGAGGGGTGCAGACAGGTATAGGCAACAGGAAAAAAGTAATATACAGTGTGCGGATACTAATTTTCATGATAACATAATTATTATAGGCGTTAAAAAAAAATGTTTTATTGCCCTTTGCGACCGACCCAAAAATCCACGGTAGGCTTTTTAAAAAAGCTTCTTTTTTAAAACCGTTTTTTTAGAGAATTAAATAAAAAATGAATACAAAAATGTGTAATAAAGCATTAAAAACTGAGAAATACCAGCCAAAAAGAGGGAGGAGGACATTTTTTAAAAAGATTTCCGACCGACCGACCCATGTTTTGGCACCTATAAAGGGCAAAACAACTTATTTTGTTTAGGTCTAATAGGGACTTTTAGATTCGCACGAAGACAACGGGGATTGCTACGGTCGACGTCCTTTTAATACACTGCCTTGAATGGACGTCACACGTTTCAGTCCACGCAAATCTAAAAGTCCCTAATAACAAAAATTATGACGCACTGCATTCCCATCTGAGAGGATGAGTGAGACTAAGTTACCCTGAGGTAGCAAGCCCATGTAGGTCCCATTGGGGTTTAAATTGGGGTCCCACCATATTGGCCTATATGTGCATGCTGTAGTCACATTGAATTAAAAACGGGCAGAAGAGAACATGAATATTATTTATTAAACGAAGATCGCTAGACACTAATACAGTTCTCATCAAAGGGGTGTCTCTTTTTATGCGTCGACACAGGAAGACTTTATTTTGGAAATAATCGGGCGGTGGGGGAGTTAACCTACAGCCACCCTCCCTATACCGCACGCACCCACCAATAAAATATTAATGCTACGGGCATGAATATTATTCCAAACTTGCGCGTTTAATGTCCTTATTAATTTTGTTTGCCATTATCGTATTATAATGCTCATTTTTGTTTAAACATTAGTTGTACATTATATTATGGACTACTATCCCATTTTTTAATTATGTTTTCTTAATGCGATGTACAATTTCATTGTCACCGTGACGTCGGGCACAAAAATAGTAACCCATGCAGTGGAAATGTTACTTTTAATTTATTTTAGCACGACTTGCTTTCTTCTTTCTTTTTATTGAAAGAGAAATTTTAGCTAACAGATCAACAAAATGATATATGTGTTAAATAAAACGTCATTAAAAAAAATCTAAAGAGGTCATTATAAACGTTCCCATCCTGCCCGGCCGGATTGATAAAGAGAGAGAGAGAGAGAGAGAGCGGGGGGGGGGGGTACGTTTAATAAGAAGAATATCACAGAAGATTACATTTTCAGATGAGAGAGAAGGGTGCTAAGGTAGTGACTTCAATGCTATATGTACAAAGATGTATAAAGATAATCTGAGAGTTTGATTGAAAACGGACGATTTTTAATGATAAAAGTTGGGAAAAACTTATCTGACGGATTCCTTAATTCTCCTAACTATATTATTACAATATAATTACATTTTTGGTGAATTTAAATCGCCACAAAGCTCTCATACCATTCCAGACAATTAAGAGTTTTTAAAAGTCTGTCTCATGTCTTCTTTTCAAGGAAAAACGGTTGGGAAAATTTACTTTTAATCACTGTTAGAGGGTGTGGCACAGTGACGCCTTCAAAGAAAACCATAAATAAGTTGTGGTTTGAGAATTTCCACAGGATAAGGGTTAGTACAGAAGAAGGAATATAATAAATAACATCATACAAAGTTTATACAGTTTTCTCATCAACCTTCAACAGTGTTACCGAGTCACTTTAAAGATTGGGACTTGAAGTTAACGTTAAAACCAAATTCATATCATGATGTCATAATCAATGTCTCGCCTGAAACTTGTTTTGTACTGAAAATAAATAAGAAACTGACAACAAGAAGAATTGAAGAATTTCAAAAGACCTCTGGTAGGCCTATATACAAACGAATTACAGTTCTTAAATAGCTTCTTATGATTCACTTTTGCCCAATTTCTTCCTTTCGACATGGGCATCCAGATTTTAAACGGTTGAGGAACCATGTTCAGATCGATCGAGATTGATCGATAACGCGAAGGACTCATTCTACCAGCGCAAAGTTGAACATCTTAAGAAATCGGAGCCTGGGATTAAGTGGCATCAGCAAATCCGTCATCTTGCTGGTATCCGTAAGAAGCAGCTTAATCTTTCATCTGACGGCAGATCAGATATTGACATTGCTAATGAGCTAAACACGCACTTCGCTGCCATCTGCTCTTCATTGCCACCACTCGATCGACAGGGGTGCTCTGTCGGCTTAATTTTCTACCAGCGCCCTCACCCCCTCCTGTGATCGACCGTCGGAGGGTTTATAAGCGCCTATGCACTTAGCTCTCCCCATTTTTTCTCCCTCTCTCTCTTTCTGTTTGACTCCCCTTCTTTCTGTCTGTCTCTCTTTCTTTTTCTCTCTCTCTCTCACCCACACACATTCACACTGTCCATTTTCAGTCTCAGTCTCTCACTCTCTCCAGCTAGCTCTCCCAACCCCCCCCCTCTCTCTCTCTCTCTCTCCCTCGATCGAGTCTATACTCTTGAGTGTGAACAGTCATTCTCACTCTTTCATTCACTCCCACTTCTAATCTCTGTGAACTTTGCGCCATTTTGTTTAATATTTTTATTTTTACTATAGATGTTTACCTGTTCTAGACCCCCCACCCCCCCCCCCCGCCCTCGTTTCCGTTTTGAATTCCATCCATTTTCTTCCAAAAATCGTATATATTATTTTTGCTTATAGTTGCAAAATCATATTTTAATAATCAATTCCGTCCACTCTATTCCACGCGATTTAAAAAAAAATGATAACACAGATTTTCATTGGACATTATTGCAAAATATATTTTCTTCCATTTACAGTCATAAAAATATAGAATGTGTGATCTTGAACATATTATGAGTAAATAAATGCAATGTATACTACACACTATAATAACAATTACAATAACAAGAACAAAACAATAAAATATAGAAAATATTAGTTTGCATAGAGTCTGTCATTTTCTTTGGTCCTCCCTGAGAATACTGTAAATATAATTATATACATTATTTGTGTAATCTTGTGTCATCTTGAATATCTGATGAATAAATAAATGCAATATATAGAACACACTTAAAAAATTACAAGAGCAAGATAAAAACAATACAATATAGACAATATTATTTTGCATAGAATCTGTAATTTTCTTTAATCTTCCCTGATAATACTGTTAATATAATTATGTACATTGACTGCATAAGGAATAGCGTGCAACACAAAGAAAATTCACTAACTCATAATTTGAACAAATTACATATGGATGGAAAGATTTTCTCTTGAAAAACACGAACAATTTGCTGAGAAATCATGTAGATATCTGATAGGCGTAAAATGCAATTTTTCAAGACCCTCCTTAGACCCCCGAACGTCCCTGAACGTAAGTCAAACACACAAGCGTAGCGAGCTCTGAATTGTGACGTCACACACTGGACGAACAGCTCAATGCCGTTTAGCAGTATGCAGCTATAGCCAGCCGTGTCCCGTATGTGACGTCACAAATATTGACGCTCTACAAAGGACCGCTTAAGGCAGAAATCTGGA